AGAATATGTTGTTAGTCACAAATACAATGATTCCTGTGACCAGAGTAACAATTGTAAACATTAGGGCAAGAAAAAATAAAACATGAGGGTACGATGTGTTCCACCCTCCTTTTCCCCCAGCTGGAACTTTGTCAAGCAGCATTGGAGGTTGGTCGGGCTTCGCCAGATGTGGTTTTTTGTTTGTTGTTTGTTTGTTTGCTGTTTGTTTTTTGGTTTTGGTTTTGGTTTTTGGTACTGGGGATCGAACTCAGGACCTTGCACTTGCAAAGCAAGCGACAGAATCACTGAGCTAACTCCCTGGCCCAAAATGTGGGTTTTTTTATAAAATGGAGTACTACTCAGCCATAAAGAACAAGAAACTAGAGACATTTATAGCTAAATGGATGCATATTGAGACCATACCCTTAAGTGAAATAAATAGGACACATGTGAAAATACCGAATAGTTTCTCTAGTGTGAGAAACGGAAAGTGTAAATAAGGATTAAAATTATTAAAATGAATAATTGATAATTTGAAATAGGAAGAAAAGCTCCAAAAGGGTAGGGGAAATGGGAGGGGTAGGGGAAAGGAAAGAAGGGAAAGGGAAAATTATGAGAAAAAGAAAATATGGAAACAAAGTCTTTGTAAATAAGGAAGGGTGGAGGGTGTGAAGGGAGCAGAGGGAATGGGGAAAAAATAAGAACCAAGATACATCATGTACAGGTACGAGCACCCAAAGATAAAAGTAAATGTATTGTATACCTAAATTGTACCAATACAAAAATTTAAGGAAAAAAAAAAATCTTCATAGTGGCATTATTCATAGCAGCCCTAATTTGGAAACCACTCAAATATCTATCAGTAATAAACTAGATAAATTGTAGTGACTTCACACAATGGAACACCACATGGCACTAAGAATAAACAATCCATAATTTATAGAACACATGGATGAATCTCACAAATATAACATTTCACCAAAAAATCTAGATACAAAAGAGTACTGCAGACCTTATAACACTATTTAAATAACATAAAAATAGTCAAAGTCTATTTGAATTTAGAAGTAAGGTAGTAGTGACTGATGGGGAGAAGCAGTAATTGCAAGGGGGCTTCTAAAGTGCTGATAATGTTTCGTTCCTAGTCTAGGTGCTGGTTACACAGTTGCATTGTCTGTGAAATATATATATTGCAATGTACACTTGTAGTAGCTGCACTTGTCTGTATGCTTATGATATTAAAGTAACATTTCTCCACTGGGGGGCCATGTCACTCATCGGGATATTTGGCAATGCTCAGAAAGGTTTTCAGTTGTCACGACTAGAGAGGGGGTGATCCTGGCATCTTGTGGCTAAAGATCACTGGTATCATCTAGCTTGCACCAAGGGTGCCCGACCACGAGCCACAAGTTCACCATCACCTACCTCACTGTATCCTACCCCTATGGTCAGATTTGTGGCAGGACCCTGAATGGGCCTGGCATCTGGCTATGGGTTCTGCTGTCTCTTAGAGAAAGACGTAAAACCTCCTACAATCTACAGCAAAGAATTATCCAGCCTCAAATCTCAGTCATGCTGAAGTTGAAAAACCCTATACTAGAATAAGAAGTTTAAATAATAATTAGTTCCTGGATGTTAGGGTGATCGGGTTTTAGACTTGACCGAGGATAGATGATAGTTTTATTAAGATGGTAGGGACTGAAGGAGACACAAGTTTGGAAGGCGGTGCCCAAGAGTTGGGTTTGGGCATGTTAGGGCGAGATGCTTATTAATCATTAAAGGAGCAATTGTAGTAGGCAGGTGAGTATATAATGGAGTTCAGAGGAGAAGGTAAGGCTGGCATTATAAGCTTTGGGATCTTTAGCAGAGAGATGGTATTTAAAGCTGTGGGAACTGGGTGTGGTGGCACATGCCTATAATCCAAGCACTCAAGAGGCAAAAGGATTGACAGCTCAAGCCCAGCTTAGGCATCTTAGCGAGACCCCTGTCTCAATATAAAAATGTAAAAGGGTCAGTCAGGGATGTAGCTCAGTGTGAAAGGCCTGGGGTTCAATCTCTAGTAATCGCCCCTGCCCCCCCAAAAAAAGCTATGGGGCGAGCTGAGATCACAGGCAATGAGTGTACAGAATTAAGAGGTTGGAAAGAGGACAGTTCAACCAGTGAGGTGACAGGAGGACCAGGACTCAAGGAGTCCCAGGGACCAAGTGAAGAAGGAAGTTTAGGAAGACGGGCAGGTCAATTCTGACACATATGTGGAGTGATGGGATAGGATGAGCAGAGGTGCTGCTGTGACGTCGGCTGCAGGAGGTCATGAGTGGCTTAGAGACAAGGATTCTGGTGGTGTAGTAGCTGAGAGGCAGGTTGAGTGGGTGAGGGGAGAATGGGAGTTGAGGAAATGGAGACGGTGCTCAGAGGCCACACAGGCAGAGGTTTCTTGTGAATGGGCATGGGGGGCAGAACGGTGGAAGACCATCTAGAGGCTGATTAGGAGGGATTTTTTTTTTTTTTGGTACCGGGGATCGAACTCAGGTCCTTGCACTTGCACAGCAGGCGGCGGAAACCACGGAGCTAAATCCCCGGCTAGGAGGGATTTTAAAGAAGCACATAAGGAATATTTGTATGTCAGTGAGAGTAGATCCCTGTGGGCAAAAGACAGATGAGCTAAGAGAGGGATTCCACAAGGAATCCCTGAACTCCCCCTTCAACTCCACAAAAGATGATCCAAAAGTTCCAAAAGATGATCAGACCCAACCAAGCCCATCACCTCTGCTCACTCACTCCAACTCACTGTCTTGTGATGTCAAATCTGTACCCCCAGCTCGGAGCGCTGACCTGCCTACATCTAGCCCAGGCCTCCTCCCCTACCTCAACCATTCCAGAATCCTCCCTGCGCCCCCCATCCACCCACTCCCACCACATCCTTGAGTAGCCCTGAGCCATTTGCCCTTCTCCCAAATACCCCCTGCTTTTTCTCTTCTCCTGGCATCTGCAGCAAGAGCCCACTTTCAGATCCTGCAGCCACTGCTCACCAGCTGTGGGACGTTGGGTGAGCCATCATTCCCGGTGCCTTAGATTCTCCTCTGGAAAGAGGGTGCTGGCGATAACCACAGTGGCGCAGGCCATGGTCACCATCTCGCTGCTTGACACAGCTCCAGTGAAACCGAGACTATGGCTGAAACCAGGACTCCGTCCGTCCTTTGCTTTCGCTTTCCGCGGTAGTGGTCACCTCGGTGCTGTGCTCCCCGGGAGATCACTGAGAGGATAAAAGTCAGTGCTTTGGAAATGGTTACTAGGCCGGGATTGCGGGAAGAAGTTGTAAATGCATTTACAGAAAAGCCCCTCGCTCCTACCTCCGTGAGTAGCGGGGACGTGACCTCCACAGGCCCTGACTGTACAGAGGGAGATCGGGACATCAACAAACTCATGATGCAGGCGCCCCGCCCCACTGTCCGGCACCCGGTCAGCCTTGGCCAACACCTATGTAACCGCAGGGCACACAACAGTGAGATCTGACGAAACCTGGCCTAATGAAGTAGCCTGACCTTGCTAAGATGCTTTTTGTTCCTTAAAAATAAATTTGGTAAGTTAGCGAGAGTTCACGTAGCACCGGGAAGAGTATCTAGAACTGGGTGGTCCAAAATAGTTTTTAGATGATTTCAGCTTGCTCTTTAACTCTGTTTGAGAACACACTGTGTATGGGCCCACGTGCTTACCAAAGCCTTGTGTAATCAAAACATACATAAGTAAAGTGATTTCGTTATAACTCAGACGGGCAAGCTGAGCTGCCCACCCTCCACTCAGTGTCTCTCATTCTCTCGTCGCCGACTCCACACCTCCTCTCAGGACCTGAACCCGCTGGAGCTGGACTCCGGCACCATAGTACTGGTGCGGGTAAGGTAACAGTAGTGCCTACCCCATAGGATTGTTTTGACTCACGTAAGGACATAGAGCGGGGCCTGCCACGTGGTGCTGTTCGAGGTAGCTACTGGCACATCTGTGTCCACTCCATCTACCCACTACCTTACTCTGGGGGACTGAGTCGCTCCCACCTTCTCACCAGGTGAAAAATGCTGTGCTCAGTATCCTTGCATATGCCCTTTCGTGCACACACATGTGAGTGGTTATGGTTCCCGGTGCCTGCCCCTTAAGGAAACTGTCCTACTTGCACAGGAACCCACTCTTGCCCATCCATCCTTCCTGCATCAGTTCCACTTGAGAGTTCATTTGGCCTGGGAAATGTTCTCTGACTTCAACCACAATGCGCGCACATGCACGCGCACGCACGGACACGCGCGCACACACACACACGCACACACACACCATTATCAACAATAAAGGATCCACCCAATTTGTTGCTTTTTGGGTTTTCTTTCCCAGTACAGGAATTCGAACTCAGGACCTTACACTTGCCAGGCAGGCACAGTGCCACTGAGCTACTTTTTCGGCCCAGGATTACCTGTTTTTAACTCAAGTGTGACCCCACACCCAGGAGTCACAGAATGGCCCTTGTAACTGGGTTGATCTCTCTGAGGCAGAGCCTGGTGGCTAGTTTTAAGCAGGAGGCTATTATGTGCTGTAAAGTCTGGGAACACTGAGAGGTCCTTGATGGCAGGACTCTAATCCAATTCATTCCTATCTCCAGTGTCCAGCACAGAGCCTGGCTCCACGTAGAGGCTCAATAAATAGTTGATAGATGAATAAATAGCTTAGTCATTACTTCATCTGTAAAATAGAAATAATCACATAATACCTTCCTAATAGGAAGAACTGAATATGCTAATATTTATGAAGAGCCCAAAACATTGCCTGGCATATAAAAGTGTTCTGCCAGTTACATATGAATATGGATATGTAAATAAAAGCTTTTCCTAGAAGTTAGGGAATCCAAGTTTATTAGAAACATTCTGACAAAAAAGGAAGGTGTGAAGAGAGGGCCCAGCCCGATTCCACTCCTTCTCATCCCCCAGAATAGACCACCAGTTTGTATCCGGCAAACTGGCTCCTTCTCCCTTGGGGTGGGTCCCCAGGGGGACCCACACTGCACTGTTGAAGCAGGATGGATACCCTAGTTCTCAGGACACTGCAGGATGTCATAGGTCACATAGCCCACTTCGTCCACCTGGTTCATTTCATTCCGGAAACTCACTCGCCAGTAGAAGCGGTCCTGGCAGAAGTAGGCTTTCTCTGCAGGGGAGAGGCAGGCATGAAAGAGGTGACGCCTATCCTCCCACATACATCTACAGAGTCAGGAGCAAGACTTTTGCAATCATTCCTCCTGGCTTTTCTGGATCTTTCCAATGTTTTTCACATGACTCTCCACCTCCCCACCTTCCTGTGAGATGCTGGAGGGCACAGAACCTGGCACACAGTAGGTGCTGTGAATACATTTTGTGAATGAATCTGCAAATAAATGAATGGATGGTCTATCTTAATGCTCAGAACAATTCATTCAACATTCATTCATTGAGAAAATTTATGTATTCATTCAAAAAATTTTACTAGGACTAGGAGTGTAGCTCAGAGGTAGAGTATTTTTCCCTAACATGCACAAGGCCCTGGGTTTGATCTCCAGAAAACCACAAAAAAAAATTGCTGAGTGCCTACTATGTGTCAAGCACATTAGAGGCACTAGAAATACAACAGAGAAAAATGCAGGCATGATCTCAATTCTTTTGGTGCTAACTCTAGTGAGGCAAGACATACAATTAACCAAGCAAACATGAAAATAAATGAGATTGATTCTGACAACCCAGACAGAGCTGGAGGAAATAAAAAAGTGAATAGAAAATGATGGACAAGGAAGGCCTTTCTGAAATGGTGGCCTTAGCACTGGGATCTGAAGGATGATTGAAAGGCAGCCTGGTGACAGTTTAAGGGGAAAAGCCTTCCAGATAAAGGGAAGAACTGGCACAAAGGCCCTAAGCTATGAATGACCTTGATCTGTTCAAAGCTGGCGGTGTAGGTGGAGCATAGTGAATGACAGGAGTAGCCTGAATGACAGGAGTAGCTGGAGCAGATGAGAACACAGACATAAAGAGGAAGGGGAGGATGGACCCTGTTAGTTTCTCTGACCTTGGAATAGATTTGGAGTCACCCCCGGGACCACTGCCCTGCACTCCTAACCTCTCCCTGCTCTCAGGGAATACATTAAAGGAATTGGACCTACACATGGTGGCACACACCTGTCATCCCAGCACTCTGGGAGGCTGAGGCAGGATCACAAAAGCCCAGCCTAGGCTACTTAATGACCTAGCAAGCCCCTTTCTCAAAAAATAAAAATATAAGGGCTAGGGATGTAGTTCTGTGTGAAAGTCCTGGGTTCAATCCCCAGTACCACAGAAAAATAAAAATAAAAAATTAAGTTGAGCTTGGTGGCATACATCTGTAATCCCAGCACTCTGGGAAAAAGGAAGAGTACAAGTTCAAACCAAGCCTGGGCAACTTAGCAATTTATTGAGACCCTGTCTCAAAAAATAAACAAACAAATAAATAAATAAATAAACCAAAGGACTGGGAATATAGTTCAGTGTGATAGCCCTGAGTTCAATTCCCAGTGCCATAAACAAACAAACGAATATATTAGATAACCAGTGCAGAGTGGACTGGGGTGTTTGCAAAGGAAACAGTGAAAAATTATAGCTTCAAAAGAAGGCTTTGGTGGTAGTGTCAACAGACCTTGCCAATTGATGGGAGGTAAGCAGTGAAAAAGTAAAAGTAAATGTAGCTATCTTCTCCAGTTTACAGTTGGGGAGGCCACGCTCTGAGTGTGACAGGATTTGCCCAAAGACACACAGCTGTGCGCTGTTTTAATCTCTCACTGTATTCCTGGGGCAGCAGTGTTTGGCCCAGTATAGGCACTTGTTAAAGATTATCTAATAAAGGATGCTCCTCCTTGCAAACCACATGCCCTGTGGCAGCCTCCAGCTGGGGAGGCCAGAAATCTGGGTCCCAGTCCTGGCTGTGCCCCTTGAGTCCCTGTATGACCTGGGAAGGTCTCTGTCTCTAGCGGAGCTGGGACGTTTGCCTCCATCTCCAAGGGCTTTTTCTCTTGCTTGCATGGAATTTGGCCAATCATGGAGGCAGGGCAGGCTGGCGTGGGAGGTATCTCACAGAGAGACCCTCCCCCACCCGCATCTGCAGCCAGCCCTCACCTCGGTACTGGAAGATGTTGTGCATGTCCAAGGGCACCCCCGGGAACATATGGTCCACCGGAGTGACGCTCCGGGAATCCACCCTCTGCGTCTTCACGTCAAACCTGCAGGAAGTGGCGAGCAGACAGGTGCTGAGCCAGCGGCGGGCGGGCGGCGCCCGGGCTCCCCCTGGCGGCGGCCGCGGTGGCTCTCACCTCCAGAAGCGCTCCCTGCTGAAGAGCAGCGCCTTTCCGCCTCCGCGCGAGATCACCCCGGTGACCTGGGTCACCTCCGAGCCCAGGCCCAGTTTGTCCAGACGCCTTGGGCCCAGCACCGACGCGCCTGTGTACACCCACACTTGGCGCCCTGCAGGGGAGAAGGGTCAAGGTCACGTCGACCTGGAGGCGCTGTGGAGCCTTTTCCTAGTCCGCCGTGCCCGCAGTCTCTGTGCCCAAGGGGCAGAGCCACTGGGTACGATTGTGCAAGGGCGCTGCGAGGTGCAAGACTAGAAATTCAGCCCGGATAAACGTGTTAAATTGCGTCCGCCAGGAGGGGGCGCCCTTTTCTAATTCTCGTCGGATTCTCAGGTTATCCTGGATTGATCCTCCCTGACTGGTGGTGGATGAAGGGTAGTGAAGGGAGAGAGGAGGATACTAACCCGAGAAGAAGAAAATCTTCTTGGAAAGTGGCTCCTCAAAGGCAGAGTCCAGTCTGGCGGGCAGCGCGGGCCACGTGTCGGCGATAAGGAACGGGCCCTGCAGCTGACGCCTTCGGCCTTCAGAAAACCTCCAGTACCGCCTGGGAACGGGACGGAGACAGGGCACTGACTCTTGAGGGAGGGCCAGTGGACGGGGAGGGAGGGACAGCCCGGGCCTCCTCCAACACCTTCCCTCGTCCACACATCCCGGCAGCTCACCCATCCTTGAAGAAATGCAGATAGTTCCCGATCTCCGCGATGGCATCAAAAATGTTCACGTTGCAGGGATTGTCCACCGGATCCGGAGGGGGGCCCGCAGTGGGGGGGCCTGTCGGGCCAGCTGCAGGAGGGCCTGTAGGGCCAGCTGTGGGGTGAGCAGTGGGGGGCAGGGTAGGGCAGACAGTGGAGGGCGCCGTGGGCTGTGGTTCACGCGTGGTGGTGACTGGAGGTCTCGGTTCAGGTTCAGGGCCAGGTCCTGAAAAGAGGTCCTGGATGAGACACTTGTAGGGTGCATAGCTCTTCCCCCAGGTGAGCACAGCCCTGTGCTGGCGCGCTCTCCTCACTTAGACGCTGAAGTCATTCCCCCAGCCGTGGATGGGGAGCTGCCCCACACTTGGCTCTTATTCAAGCCATGTTCATTCATCCCTGGGCTGCTTTAGGCCCTGGGTCGAGCTCTGTGGATTGAAAATAGGTAGCTCTGTCCCCGGCCCAGGCCAGTGGGAGTATCTTTTGAATGTCACCATGACAAACCTAGTGCTGAGAGCTTTATAAACTCACAGAATCGGCTGGTTTGATCTTCAGAGAAACACTATGAATTTGATTCTTCAATATGCCTTTTCCTCTCTCTCCTCTGTGGTGCTGGGGATAGAACCCAGCTCCTCACGCATGCCAGGCAAGGGCTCGACTGCTAAGCCACACACCCAAGTCCTAGGGATTGAGCCCAAGGCCTTCCCACTGAGCTACACCCCTGGCGTTCTGGGGGGTTTGTTTTTGTGTTGTGTTGCGTTGTGACTTTTGGAGACAGGGGCTCACTAAGTTGTTAAATTGCCCAGGCTGGGTTTGAAGTTGCCATCCAGCTTAGAGCCTCAGTTCTTCAGCACCATCTCCAAGCACTGACAGGGGGCAACTGGTCCCTGGTCCTGTCCCAGAGGGATGTCGAGGTCCCATCCCATTCTCTGGCCCTGCGGCTAAGCCACACCCCGACCTCCGCTTCTCCTATCGCTGTCCTGCAACCTCACCATAGAGATGTTGGATGCCCTTCACATCATCCTCGTGCAGCGGGGAGCCCTCGAGGAAACGGTACATGGGGTACATGAGCGCCTCTGGCACAGAGGAGTGATCTAAGCCCAGCGCGTGGCCAAACTCGTGTGCTGCCACAAGGAATAGGCTGTATCCTGGAGGGAAAGGAGAGCCTGAGACCGAGCGCCAGGCCAAGCCCCCTCCGCGGCCACAGCCCACGAGCCACGGCACCCCGCGCACCTTGGTCTGCGCAGAAGCCCCACTTCCTGTCAGTGTCGAAGTTCGAGGTGGTGGCGCACCACAGGCGCCCATCGCGGCGACCCTCACCGGTGCAGGACGAGTACTCCTTGCCCAGGAAGACGAAGGGGAAGACGCACAGCTCCCCGGCCGCGTTGCCGCCAATCACAGTCGCGTCGGCTGAGGAGACCCGGGGCCTCGGGTGAGCCCGGCGTTGGGTCCAATCAGGTGCGGGGGGGGGGGGGGGGACAGACACAGGCCCTAGAGTCCCAGTGACCTATTTTTTTAACGCCTAGGGGGCGCTGTGCAGCCACTGAGACCAGGAAACTTGTGGGGAGAGCCTGAGGCCCCAAAGCCTCGGAGGTGCAGGCACCGCTGGAAACGGTGGATGTGATGGTGGTGGGCGCAGGAGCAGTGGAGGGACAAAATGCCACTGTGGTTTCAGGGACCAGCGCGCCATAGGAGAGCGGGGCTGAAACTGGCGGCGGGGCGGCGGTACCTCGAGTGGGGCAGAAGCCGTAGAGCTTGTCCTGGTCGAAGTTGGCGGTGGTGGCGCACCAGCGGTAGCCGTCGGAGCGACCCTCGGTGGTGCAAGCGGAGTAGGAGCGGCCCTCGAAGGTGAAGGGAAACACGCAGGGCTGGCCGTCTCCGTTGCCATGCTGGGTGTAAAGTCCTGGGGGACCCAGAGCGTTACTCCCAAGGGCCTCGCGCTGTTGGCCCCTGGACCGGCCGCAGCCCATCCCTCCTGTCTTCCTCTCCCAGGAAAGGAAACGGCCCAGAGGGCGGCGGAGCACTGCAGGCCGCACAGCGCACGAGGGGCAGGGGGTTTAGAACCAAAGCCCCGCCCGCCCGGCGGAGGCGCCCGCCCGCGCTTGCGCCGCGACCCCACACTCACTCTCGCTGGGGCAGAACCCGTACTGGCGGTCGGTGTCGTAGTCGGCCGTGGTGCTGCACCAAGGCTTGTCGTCAGTGCGGCCGTCGGTGGTGCAGGCGGAGTAGGAGCGGCCGGCGAAGGTGAAGGGGAAGTGGCAGGGGGCGCCGTCCGCGTTTCCAAAGTAAGTGGGAACCACTGCAGGAAGAGGGGACTGGAGTGGGGTGGCTGGGGATGGGTGTGGGGGAGAAAGGGACGTGGGGAGGGAGGAGAGGGGCCGGGGTGGCTTAGGATCTCGGGTCTCGGGTCTCACCGACGCCCTTGCCCAAAGTCCACAACTCTTCATCGTCAAAGTGGGCATCTCCCTGAATGCCGGGGCCCGGGGGAAAGGCGTGGGCCAGAAGCCCGTCCTTCCCATCGAATGGATACCCGTCTCCGTGCTCTGTAAAAGCGGGTGGAGTGGAAGGCGCTCAGCCGCTCAGCCGCCGCCACTGTCCAGGGGCGCGGAATTCCCCGCGCGGCTCTCCGAGCCTTGCGCTCCGGAGGAGGGGGCGACAAAGGGCGAGCGGTGGCCCAGGCTGCCGAGCGGTCTCAGTCAGGAGACAGCTGGTCCGCCCCCCCCAGACTCTCCGCGCTCCTCCCTCGCAGACCCCCGCCCCCACCCCCGGCCAGCAGTCCTGGCTTTCCGGTTCTGACCCGCGACACCAAACTGGATGACGATGTCTGCGTCGCGGCCGTACACACGAGTGAAGGTGAGTGGCGTCACTGCGCTCCACACCGCGAAGGCGCGCGCAAAGGCGTCGTCGATCAAGGCGCGCGGCAAGTCTTCTGAGTAGTTCTGGATCCTGTAGGGGAAAAGCAAGGGGAACGAGGTTAGAGTGCGAAACGGGCGGGGCGGCGGCGGGAGTCCAGGTCTCAGAGCCGTCTGGGGACGGTGCTTCCTGCTGTCCGTGCCTTCGTCTGTACGGCGCACCCCAAACCCCGTGTGCGCTCACAGATGGCCCTGACGGGAGGACTTGGACTGCTACGACCACTTCCCCAAAGGGGAAACTGAGGCTCGGAGGGGCAGCCACTCGCCCCAGACCGTATATTAACCAGTGAAACCCCGACCGTCTGAGGCTATTTCATTCGCCCTACAGCGGCACTGCCTCTCCTCGAGCTGCTCACCAGTATGTGATGTTGCGATGGTGCCACCGGAGGTCGCCCTCGAAGGTTTGGAATTTGCCCACATCCGGGACACCGCAGCGTGGGGTGCGGATGGCCTCCAGCGTGGCGCTGTCCAGCTCGCCGGTCTCGGGTAGGGACAGCTGCTTCTGAAGCAGCAGCAGTGAGGCCCGAAGGGACTTGTTCCCCTGGTGCATATTGGCCACACGAGTGTACCCATAGCGGAACAGGTATTCCTGTGGATGGAGGGCAGATGTCTCAGAGCCCTGACCCCCTTCTCTGTCCTTCTAGGCCAGGACTATCCCTCTGGCACTCAGGGATGATCGATAAGACGTTAATCCCAGAACACCAGTGCTTTCTTCCCTCCTGCAGACACCCTCAGCCCCTTCCTATCCCTGTGCCTCCCGCTCAAGCCTACTAGAGGACCCCCTAGTTTGTCCCTGTTCATTCCCAACCTGTGCTCACCCAGAACCTTCCAGGCCCCACCCCTACTATTTCCCATTGCCCACCTAGGACACCTGCATTGCCCATCCTGTCCATCACTGCCCAGAGCCTTCACAGGACACCCAGTGCCTTACCCTGGGCACCCCTGTTCCCCAGACATGCCCACCACCCCACACATCCTAAAGCATCTCTGAGGCCCCATGGCCTCTCTGGCACATGGACACCTTCCTGGCCAGCCCTCCCCATCTCTCCACCATGGCATCTGCCTACCTCTGCCAGCTGTTTGTCAGTAAGATTGGAGCTTCTCAAGTCTCTGGGGAAGATCACAAGGGTAGGCTGGGGCCTTTGAGGGGCGGCAGAGCAGCAGCCCAGTACCAGGAGCACCACCAGGGGCTGCCAGGGACTCATGGTGAGGGTGGCAGTGTCGCTGCAGTGGCCCTCCCAGGGGCTTTAAGAAGGCACTTCTACTGAATCAGTGACCCCGCCCTCCCCTCCTGGCGGGTGCTGACTCAGGGTATGGGGGTGTGTGCGTGTGTACCATGCATGCGTTCGTGTATGTGGGTGTGTGTGTGTTGGACAGCCACAGCATGAAAAGGCAAAGAAACAGCTTACACCACCTCCTCCTCTCCCCACTGTGTGCAGTGACCACTGCCTAGTCGGGCAGGACCCCAGACCTGCAGGAAACCACAGGTGCCCAGAGGCGGGCCTGGTTTTGCAAACTGCAGAGTTTGTGGAAGAGGGAGGGAGGGGAATGAGGCTAAAGGACTCCCTCAGCCCTCCATCTGAAGGCCCCAAGTGCTCAGCCAAGGAAAGGCTGGCAGGGGCCGGGGATTTAGCTCTGTGGTTCTGCTGCCTGCTGTGCAAGTGCAAGGACCCAAGTTCGATCCCCGGTATCAAAAAAAAAAAAAAAAAGAAAGGCTAGCAGATGCCCTGAGTCCTCTTTCCAGGGACTCCCTGAGATCCCTGGCCCTGTCCTTGTCCTTCTTCATCGCCCTCTCCCTGCCCAGACCCCACCACACCCCTGCCCACAATCCAGGCCCATCCCCACTCTCCTCCCTGGCAGCCTTCTTTGACTCAGCTTCCTCTCCCATTCCATCTGGGGTGGAAGGAGTAGGTTCTTCAAGGCAGGAATTGGGGAATTCCCCCTGGGCAAGCCCCCAATGTGGCTTAGTGAAGCATCTGGAAACATCTGCAGCATCTACAAACCAGCAGAGGCGGCTCTGTGCTCTTCCTTAAAGGCCTCAGACACATGTCCTCATCACTCTGGATTTGTTTCCTCAGCTGTAAAAATGGGCCTTTTACCCCTAAATTAATGTGGGGATAAAAATGAGATCAAGCACATAAACTGCTTAGTACAGTGCATGTTGTAAGCCCTCAATAGATGGTGGTGATTGTTTTTAATTACTAAGGCCAAGATGAGGATGGTCCCCTAGTTTCAGATGACTGGGGTCTGGGGCTCTAAGCTGCCATGTGACCTGGAAGAAGTGCCTTCTTTGGGGGCTCTGGATTTTTTAACTGCCCTTCCCCTCCTCCAGCTCTGCTCTAGCCAGCGAAAGCTTCAATGCCAGTTATTACCACTTCTGCCAATAACCAGCAGCCTCCCTCCCTCCCTTCCAGCCAGCTTGCCAGTTTATGACAGGGCAGATATTTGCCTTCATCAAGGCTTTGTTTGGGAAGAACAATAATAATTCAAGCTGTATGTAAAGGGCCTACTATGTGCCAGGCACTTTATACACTTATCTGGTAAGTGAGTCTGAGATGAAGACAATTATTTCCCTTATAGGAAAATAGATGCTCTGAAGTTTCCTAGTTAATGAACATCTGCTTTGTAGTCACCCAGTCCTGAATTTCAGTACCAGAGCTGTCCCCTCCATTAAATGGTAAATGCTTAAATAAAATTTTTTCAAATGTATTACAGTAAAAGAGACACTCTCATTAACCTTCCTCAAAATACCCACCCACACTTCAAAAACACTAATCCCATCATTCTTGCCTTTTTCTGAAACAGTTCTGGAAGTTCTCCTTCATGAATGTCATTAGCTACCTTGATGTCCTGAATGGATTCAAAACATATATGGCAATTTCTGTCAAGATGATGTGTCCTAATCCACTTTATTCAGCAGATCTGGCACCATGTGACTTCTGACTCTTCCCCAAAGTCGAAATGACCATGAAAGGTAAATGTGTTGGATTGACTCAAGACATCAAGGCGGCCATGACAGTACAACTAAAGACACAAAAGAGGACTTCCCAAACTGCTTCAGAAAGTGGCAAGAACAATGGGGAAAAAATGTGTTTGAAGCACGGAGGAATATTTTGAGGGGTAAAGGGCAATGTGTCTTTCATTATAATACATTTTTTAAAATTTAAACATTCACTATGTATTTTGATCATTCTTCATATATGACCTTAGGGCAAGTCACTTCACTTCTGACCCATAATAATGATGCATTTTTTGAGATTTACTGTGTTGAGCACTGTTGTGATTGGTATGCAAGATGACCCACAAAAGGCTTACTGCATTGAAGTCTTGGTTGCTATGGACTTTGGAAAGTGATTGGGTTGATCCACTGATGAGATCGTAGTTTGATTGCATGATTGGGCAGTGATGAACACAGGAGATGGGTCTAGCTGAAGGAAAAAGGTCACAAGAGAGTAAGTTTGGGAACTGTATCTGATCCCCAGTCCCTTCCCTTCTGGCTCTTTCCCTTTCTCTGCCTTCTGGCTGCCATGATGTGAGCAGCTTTTCCCTACCATGCCTTTCCACCATGATGTTTCTGCTTTGGAACCAGCCAACCATAGACTGAATCCTCCAACATCATGAGCCAAAATAAATCCTTCCCCTTTATAAGTTGTTGTTCTTAACTGACCAATACAAGTACTGTGATAAACTTTTTATAAGCTTCTCATTTCATCCTCACCATCTACGAGGTAGGTCTGGTGAGTAACCCTTTCCTTTTCAGAAGAAGAAACTGAGTCTCAGAGCAGTTAAGGAACTTGCCTCTGATCACATAGTGAATCAATGTGTAGAACCAGGATTCAAGCCTCCCACTGCCTGTTTATTTTTTTAATCTTTATTATTCACAAGGATCTGAGAGAAAGATGTGTATCTAGATGGTTGGGAGAATTTAAAGCCTGGACCCTTTTCCTCTGATCCCCTGCTACTGCCAAAGATAAGAGAGGTGGCTGAGGCATTTGGGGAATCACACACTAAGACAGGGGACAGGGGAACCTGTGGGACTATATTTCAGACTTGAGAGTATTGGGTCAAAGAACAGTATGATTTTAGAGATGGAAACACCCTAAGAGATCCTGCAGTCCAGGAGATCTTCATCTGCATGGCAGATATGGGATTTAGGTGAATCCACGAACTACAGTCACCTTGCCCCCAACTGTATAGAATATATCATACCTGTGCATGTATGTCACATTTCTCAAACTTGATACTCTTGATATTTGAGCCTGAATCGCCCTCTGTTTTGAGGAACCATCCTGCACATCGCAGTATATCTAGCAGCGTCCTCTGCCACTCTTCACACTAGATGCCAGTAATTCCTCCTCCTGCCCATTATGACAGCCAGAAATGTTGCCAAACATTGCCAAATGTCCTCTGGGTGAGTGGAAGAGGGAAAAAAACACTGGTAATGTTGATTTTTTCTTTGTAATGGCTCCAATACTCTCATCAGACATGATGATGATCCTCTGAGGATCATCTTTAAAGATTATTTACTCAACAAATATTTATTGAGTTTTATGAGCCAGGCATCTAGCTAAAAATTGTGACTATAGTAGTGACCAAGATAGCCTTTGTCCCCTTATCCATGGAACTGAGTATCCAAGAATGGAGAAAATGAATGAGTGATTGATTAATTACTAGAGACAAACACCATGAAAAGAAGGTGTACTTATCTACTCCATTTTGAAGCTGAGGAAACAGAGCAAGCAGGGACAGCACGTAGGTGTCTACATTCAAATCTGAGCTCTTCCCCTGACTTGCTGTGGGCCTGAGCAACTGACATAACCCATCAGCACCTCAGTTTCCTCATCTTTAAAATGGAGGTAATTTTAGGGCTTTCCTCATGGGGCTGTTATAAGCATCAAGGGTTAACAGATGTAAAGGGCCTGGTACAGGGTAATAAGTGTTTGCTGATGATGATGGTGACTCCCTTGGGATACCTGACTGTTCTTAGCACTGGGGAGCTGGGAGACAGCACCCAGCTGGGACCCCCAGGACTTGATTCCTGGAGTCCACCTAAGTAAGAACCCTCCTTTTTCCACCCCCAACTTCCTTCTTTACCCACTTTGCTTCCAACCCCCATCAAGGGGAACTTGGGGGAAGCTTGGCTTTCAACAGGGCAATGGCAGGAAGTGGTTCTTGTTACCACATCCCCTTCCCCCCTTCCCCAGCCCCTCCTTCCAATGCCACATAGAGTTTAGTCAAGGCCCCAGGAGAGGAGGCAGATATCAAGATACACCCCCAGCAGGCCCCTCCAACAACCATGACCCCCTGACCAGGGCTCTAAACCCCTCATGCAGGTGGAAGTTCCATCAGGATGGGGAGGGGACTGACTCTAGAGCCCTGAGTCACCAGCTGGATGACACAGCCCTGCAGGTGGCTATTAATAACTCCAGGCCCTCAGACAGATGGGGGTCAGCCTCATGAGATGAGGAACCTCATCCTCTCCCAGGATGGGGGAACTCCAAGCCTGATTCTCCCAAACCTCCCAGGGAAAGGAAGCCTGAGAGGCCCAGGCAGGATGTGGGAGAGACACTCTGCCAGTCTGGGATGCAGCAGAAAGATGTTAATAGTGTAAGACATTGCCCCAGGGGACAGCATCACTCAGTATGGGCCCCTCCCCCAGCCACAAACACACCTACCACCTCTAGCCCCAGGGGTGGTAATTCCCACAGTGACTCCTACAGTCCTTAAAGATACTAAGTCATGTCTCCTGTTTAATCTTTGTTGAGCACCTTCAATAGAGAAGTCAGAGTATAGGCTTTGGAATTGAACATTTTGGGTTCAAATTCCAGCTTCTAAAATTTACTAGTTATGTGCCCTGAGGCAAAGCAGTTTACCTCTCTGAGCCTCCTTTTCCTCATCTGTAAAATGGGAGAAAGGCTGGCTCAGTGTACCTCAGTGATAGAGCATGTGTTTAGCATGTACCAAGCCCTGGGTTTGATCCTGGTGCCAGAAAAATACCCCAATAAAATGAAATGGGGAAAAGAAACAGTCCTCATTTCAAGGAGTTGTAGTGGGAATTGGATCATGACTTGCCAGTCGTTTGTATTACTATCTGTTGTTGTTTTGGTTTGGTTTGGCTTTTTGATTAGACTTCTTCTTTTATTTTATTATTATTATTTTTTGGTACCGGGGATCGAACTCAGGTCCTTGCGCTTGCAAGGCAGGCGGCGAAACCCCTGAGCTAAATCCCCAGAACCTTGGTTTGGCTTTTTGAGA